AAAAAGGAAAAAAAAAAAAAAAGAGTTCAAAAAAAGAGGTACTATGCACCGAGACCCCTCAAAAGATTCCCGAGGCCAAGTCCCAGTTACCCGAATGATCTATTTCTGACCGTAGATTCGGAAGATCAACGACCAGAAATCAACGATCAGCCTAAGTGGGACTTGGGCCCCGGACCTGCTCAATATCCAGATGGGACAAGGGCAGCAGCCGGTGTTGAATTTTTTTTTATTTTTATTTTTTTGGTGTTGAATTTTTGGAGCTTCTTCCTGTGAGATCTTCATTTCAAATTCCCTATTTTATCTTTAGATTGACCAAGTTTAGATGGTACTCTATACCCCCACTTGGTTGCCCTTTGTTCGCACTTTGTCTGAGCCTCTCCCTGAGCATGGTCCCACTGCCCACGAGGATGGGATTGCATGCCTGAATCTGGACGTGTTTGTGCACAGGTGCAGGAAATCGAGATTGAACTGCTTTTCTGCATCTTTGCGGAAGGCATATCCCGATTCAGGCATTCAATCCTATCCTTGTTGCTAGTTGGACGTGGCCCCTTGTTGTGGTCCTTGTTTTGGACTTGGTTTCAAAAATCTTTCTTATGATAGGCTAAGAATGGTAGCACAGATACTACAGTCTTCCCCCGAATACAACGTACCGTCATTATAGCTGAATTTAGACCGAAAGATACACCAAATTCAGCAATAATGACCGTGCGTTGTATTCGGGGGAAGACTGTAGTTGTTTTTTTTTTTCTTTTGAATGGCTCCATCTATTGGTGGGGAGCTGCACCTGCTGGAAACGGGGTCCAGCGTCCCAACATCATTTGAGAAAACCAGGCTGCTACTACTAATTGTAGGCATACGGGGAACCCCGTAGCAGCCAGAACCCTGTTCACGAGAGAACATGCATCCGGGGGCTGCTCCCGACCTGCAGGTGGGCGATACGCGCTACAGTAGGGGTAGGGGACAGCCGGTAGGTACCATCAGGGACCATCCATGCCAACAGGACCAATCCCTGTGCCTCCCCTCAGGTGGTGGTCCCCCCCCACCCCCTAGGAACATCAGCAGACTCTGATCAATGCCAATCGAGGGATCCAGTGGTTTATCTCTACAGTCTTCCCCCGAATACAACGCACCGTCATTATTGCTGAATTTGGTGTATCTTTTGGTCTAAATTCAGCTATAATGACCGTACATTGTATTGGGGGAGGACTGCAGGTGGAGGGCGCCAAGCATGCCCAGGAAGGTACATGAGCCCAATGGGGATTGAAAAGGGACGCCCGGCTCGTCTCCCTGCTTGTTAAAAAAAAAAAAAAAAAAAAAAAAAAAAAAAAAAAAAACCCTGAGCTTTTGCTTTTTGGAAGGGACGCCGGCGGGGCCGTTTCCCAGCTTGAAAAAGAAAAACTGACCATAATTACGTCCACAGAGAAGTGGAGAAGTCCAAGAGGGTGGTCCCATTAGCCACGAAGATGGGAGTGAATGCCTGAATGTGGACGTGTATGTGCACAGGTGCAGGAAATCGAGATTGAACTGCTTTTATGCATCTCTGTGTAAAACACATCCAGATTCAGGTATTCAATCCTATCCTCGTTGCTAGTGGGACGTGGGTCGTAGTGTGAGTACGCCCTAACTTGAAGACAACTCTACAGCCAAGACTTTCTGTCCTTTCTTTTCTTTTCTTATGCTTTTTTTTTTTTTTTTTTTTTTTTTTTCCTACTACGGCCGACACTTTCTTTTGTGTCTCGAAACGATCGTATGTCAAGAAAAGGTGAAATGCATCGTATCCTACGGCCAAGAAAAGGTGAGCGTATCTAAAGATGGCATGCATCTTTCCAGATCCAAGCGGAAGAGATTTGTTCAATGCGCTTGGAGATTGCAGTCCACGGGGTCCCCGTGGCTGCACACTCGTTACTTGCGTGCGTCAATCCTCTGGAATCCAGAGCAACCAATGCTGACAGGCGGTGCCCCTGCGGAGTTAATCCGCTGAGTACCTCTGCTTGATGGAAGATGGGACGATTAAAAAA